CCCCAAAACCCCAAAACCCCAAAACCCCAAAACCCCTTTTAGGATTTTATTTATTGAAGTATTAGTTTTCATCGAATAAAAATAGAAAAATGAAACCTGTTAAAATTTTTACTGGCTCAAGGGTCAGATTCTCCTTCAGATCTAGCACAAAGAGTAATAGTCAAACTCCAAGAAGTACATCAAATGAGAGTGATGAGTACAACACATTTCCTTAAACTCTAGAAAAGCAGAGAATCCTCAGTCAATTTCAGGAAAAATGACAAAGAACTTCTCTCAGCCGCTATTTCTTCCAGGCAAAAATTCTCGAACTACTAAAAATCTAGCAAAACATTCCATTGTAAAGATTGCACTAACAATTAGGGTCTTAAATCTATCAAATTTCAGCCTAAAGGGATATCTAAAAAGACATTATTCAAGGTAACAATTTCTGGTTGTAAGTTAGTAGAGGAGGATCCTTGCCCAACCCAAACCAAGTAAGTACTAATTCTTAATTCTCTAGAGACTATAAGCCTAAGTAATTTTGATTTCAACTCATTAGTGGAACGATGCAAGAACGAGGAATTCAAATAAAATGTTGCTTAGGTATGCGCCTGAGATTAGAAACCTTATTAACCAACAGCACTCTGACCTTCCTGTCATACCAGATTTTGTAAAACAGAAATAAATTTAAAAAGAGGCAGATAACGAGATCTTCTTATTTAAGAACTACCTTCACTGAATCAGACGAGGATTTTCGCAAGATTCGTGAGATCTGACTCCTTGGTGGCCGCCTAAACCAGCCTCCTCCCAAAATTTTTACATTCTGAGTGCAAAAATCAACGGAGCGGTTAAACAGAGTCCTAAAAATCCAACCAATGAGCACCAAAAACACCTGCTGCAAAACCCTCATCTCCAACACCACCTCCCAATACAAAGCCGCTATCTCTCATTTCCAGTCCAGACCCCTCCAAATCCTCATCAAAAACCGCCGTCACAGCCTAACCTAACTCCAAAAAATCCCCAAATTTCAACTTTCCTCCACCTCCATGGGGTTTTGGGGTTTTGGGGTTTTGGGGTTTTGGGG